AGCCTTAAAAATTCACATCAAGGGCTACATGTGCATTAACTGTTCTTAGGCCAATCCTGTGCCCCCTTCCTACATCACCAGAAGCGATGTGGGATATGGCGTGATATCACCCATATCACTCTATCCGCTCCCACACTGTCCCCACAGTCCTCTTTTCTTTGTACCTGGAAACTCCTGTGTGTTACATGTACCGGGGGCAGGGGACAGAATTAGCTGAAGCAAGACAAATCATTATGCTGGCACAGCATCATGTGCTCCTTCTCAAAACCTTTGCTCCTGGTCCCTCATGCCCAAGCCTTGCCCCAAGGTGGACCATTCCTTCTGTCCATTCCTGCTCAGGGCTGGAAAGCACCTGAGCCTCCCCTGGAACCCACCTGTCTCTCATATGCCCACAGACACTGGTACCTGAGGGCCAGCCTCACTCAGTTCTTAGACCAACAGCAAATATCCAAAGCTGGATTCAGATAAGGTTTTCAAGCGGAGGTTTTTTTGGTATTTTTGATATATACAGTAGTGTCCATGCCCTGCTGCCTGCAGCAGCTACTTGAAATAGTTAATTGAATACAATAGTCAAAAAGCAACATGCTTCAGGTAAGTGCTGCTGAAGCAAGTGCAAGCTTCCACATCCTGCTGCTCTGTCAGGCAAGCCACCTCCAACATCCCAACATCCAACACCAGCAGCAGGCACCAGGCACTGACATTCATGTACACGCTCTGTTATCAGGCAGCAAGGCTGGAAAAAAGCACTGCAAATACTCCCATTTTTATCACTGTTGACGCACCTCACTGAAACTAGCACGAATTATCACCGGTATTTTGACAAAACAAAAGCATAAGCTGGACATAAAGTAGAGATACACTATCAGAAAAGTCAACAGACTGAGGAAAAAGAATCACAATTGCATAGACAAGTAGTAAGCATGGAGGTGGAAAAAGAAAATAGCACAAGTGAGAATACTTTGCACTAAGAGGAGTGAAATGAAGAAAATTAACCAGAGAGAATCAACCATCAAGTACATTGCTCAAAATGCTGGTAAGGAAAAAAAGTAGGAGAAAACTAAACAGACAGGGATCAATGACATAAAGTAAGGATGCATTTGAAAATACCAAAAGAAAGAAAAAAACAGATGAAAATTAATTTCCCAGGATCTTGAGCACATTTAATCTGTTTCTAAGGAAAAAAACTTTCAATTTCTTAAATGATGTGACCTAACCCAGCCTTAATAACAACAACAAAAAACCTGAACTCCCGAGTTTAATATGAGAAGATTCCATTAACCAGGTTTCAAGAGATCAAGCCTCAAGTTTACTATGCTGCATTCACATCCATCTGTTCCCACAGTAAAAAGTTCACAGTATCACAGTATGCTAGAGATTGGAAGGGACCTCAAAAGATCATCTAGTCCAATCCCCCTGCCAGAGCAGGAACACCTAGATAAGGTTACACAGGAATGTGTCCAGGCGGGTTTTGAACGTCTCCAGGGAAGGAGACTCCACAACCTCCCTGGGCAGCCTGTTCCAGTGTTCCATCACCCTCACTGAGAAGAAGTTTCTTCTCAAGTTTAAGTGGAACCTCTTCCACTTTGTTCCAGTTTGTACCCATTACCCCTTGTCTTATCATTGTTTGCCACTGAGTAGAGCCTGGCTCCATCCTCGTGACACTCCCCCTTTATATATTTATAGACACTAATAAGGTCACCCCTCAGTCTCCTCTTCTCCAAACTATAGAGACCCAGCTCCCTCAGTCTTTCCTCATAAGGGAGATGCTCCACTCCCTTAATCATCTTCGTTGCCCTGCGCTGGACTCTCTCCAGCAGGTCCCTGTCCTTCTTGAACTGAGGGGATTTTACAATTTTACAAGTTGTTTTACAATAAAGATTAAAAAACATTACATTTTTGTTTCACACCTAACACCACTGTCACTCATATTGACTATTTTCTATTAGTATACACAGCAAAGATAGTTGATATTTCTTTAATATAGTGACATGTAATCACTTGCTACATTAATTTAAACAACCTCTTCCTATTTTTGATAAGAGATGATGGTTTTCCCTAAAGCAAGGTCTTTATTTTCCTCAAATAAAGACACCCCAGCGTATGCAGCAGCCAATCTATTAACACAGCACAAACTACTCTGCTGTGGCCAGCTGCCAAGAATGGCTTTGCTCTGATTATCTCAGCAATATATCTTGTTCTGCGCTCTGTAACTGATGCAATACAAAAATGGGTTCTTCATCAAGCAGATTACACGGGTCACTCAAATTTTAGATTTTTTTTCACAATTGGATCTTCTTTATCAATCATTTTTTATTTTTGTTTCCTAAATAATATATGCTAAAGAAAAATCTGACACATTTGCAAAAGCACTACAGTATTCTGCAATATTTTGTTCACAATTCTTGTCTGTTTACATTTACTCAAGACATCAGTTTTCATCATGGCTAGAAACAGCTACTTCTCCAGGATTCGCAGTTTTCCAGTGTGTGCTATCAGCCTTCTGCAGATCCATATTTTTGTTTCAAAAACTCAGCTTTCTAATCCAGATGTTCACATCTTGCCACGTGTGAACAAAGCATAAAACCAATGCTGTGCTCTAAATACAGGGGCAGACAGCTGCCATATCTCTGATGCTACTGGGACATATCTGGCTTTATACTGTTACTTTGACAAATGTGGGCCAGCTCTGCCTCTCCTCTGCTTTGAAAAGCTCAGATGCTTTTGTATGAGTAAGGCATAGGAGAGATGCTCAGAGAATTGCAACTCCTTAGACATATCATGGACAATTTTGCAACAGTTACTGCTTTGAGGACAAAGGCAGAAAATACCATTCTTTCATCCAACAATTAGAATCTCTGTTTAATAATGCTTACAAAGATATCCCAGTATCTCTTACCCAGAGAGGAAGCAAGACACAAAACTGAGTTTGGAGGAACAAAAAGGTAACTTTTTCCTCCCCCCATACTTGGGACAGGCAGAAAACACTGAAGAGACATACTTCTCTTTTGATAAGATGAAAAAGCAGAAGTGTAAGAGCAAAGGGAGAAATCCACCATGACAGTACATAAAATACTCTGAGGGGGGCACTGAAAAAAAAAAAAACAGGAATACAAAGAGAATCCATCTCTTTCTAATAATAAACGTTAGGCTCTAAGATTTTCAAAAGCAATTAGAAGCATGACTGCAACGAATTTAGGTGTATTCAACCTAGATATGAAATAGCTTGAAGGAAGAGGCTTTTTCCCAATCTTTCCTGACCTGTTCACAAGAATTTGACTTAAAATACAACAAAGAAAAAAAAAAAGGGGGGGGGGGAAGGAAAAAAATATTTAAAGAAGCACTGACCAAAAAAGTCAAATTAACTCCCACCTCAAAAGGGGAAAAAAGCCAGAAATGTGTAAACTGAGTGAAATTGTCAGCAGCAGCATCACTCTGATAAGGATTTACAATCCCACTGGTTCAGCGTTCTTACCACATCCTTCTAATGTATCACTGGGAGCAAAAGAAATGGAGGCAATGAGTTGGGGGTTATACTAATACAATGACTGATGTATTAGTGTTTATCTTTACCTGAACACCTGCAGTTACCAACGTCCCATCCTTCATAAGTGTCAGTGCTACCAAAAGAATATTCTGCCAGGCTGCAATAGGACTGCTACGCTAGCAATGTCAATGCAAACAACTGCATGGATCACTGCCTCCAACGTGACTTTCCATCTCGCAGGACACACATTTTTACCAAAAAATATGTCAGTTCACCATACTGTTGCCATGAAAGATCAAAACTGCAATGCTTTCTACATTTACTCTTGGAAGTACCAACCAACTCTGAATATTTCACCCAAATAATAGTATTGAACTCTGCTCACCGCTTGCACGCATTCGGTCAGTTTCCACGTCCTTCTGTGTCCTTCTGACAGAGACTTTGTTCCCTTGAAGTCCCAGACACCTCAGATAAAGAATTGTTAAGACTACCCATGAAAACACTAATGCAGGGCAAAGAGAAATGTGGATGAGAATGAAGAACCATGGAAAGCACACTGATAGTGTTTACATACTAATAAAGGCTTTAAATCTACTACAGATGCCCTGTTTTTAAGCTGTGTGTAACAACTTATTCTAGTAGTTCTAAGGAAATATGCTGAGTGACATACTTATGTCTTGTTTATCCTTCTAGAAACATAAAGACACTGACGCTGTACCCTCATACCCACAAGACACCTCACTGGAAGCATTTACAACGTGGTTTATACAGCCTCCAAACATTCGTTACCAGTTATTAAAGTTTAAATTAACTCTCAGGCGTGCACACAAGTGGGATCATCCTTCCCTTCAAAGCAAAACCACAAATTAAACTGAAAACCAAAATCACTTGTGGGTTTAAGAAAGGGTGAAGAGATAACGTTTACAAAAGCCATTCCCGTTGGCACGCCGCAACCCCCGCCCCTGGGCGGTTTTCCTTCCCGGTTCCTCCCCCACCCCGTCCCGCCACTTCACGCACCCACCCTTCCCAGAGACACAGAGGAATAAGGAACCGGGGCGGGCAGCCGGACGCAGCTCCCGAAGTCCCCTCGGGGCCGCCCCCCCAGCCCCAGGAGCGGCCTTACCGACGCTTCCGCGACTACCCGAGCACGTGTCCGCAGCGCGACAGCGGGGAACGGGGAGGAACAGGCCCCCGGGCGCGCCCCGCAACGCCTCACAGGGCAGCCGGGCGGCAAACCGCTGCCAGGGACCGGGCGCCCACGTTGAGCACAGCAAAATGTCACGTTCACTCCACGAAAGAGGGAGGTCAGGCAGCAGCTCCGAAGCACCGAGCACGGACCGCGACCCCGGCACCCCGCTCACCCGCCTCTCCCTCCCGCGGCGCGGCACGCAGCTCCCTTCGCTAGCGCCGCACCTCTCCCGCCGCTTCCGGCGCTCCCCCGACGTCATCGGAAACATCCTCGTCCCTTCCACCATTGCCATCGCCTATTGGGTGGGTGTTGCGCTGGGCGCTCCCGTCATCGGAAGAGTGCCGTCGTGCTGAGGGGGCGGTTGGAGAGGCGGTGGTGCGGGAGGGTGCGTCGCGTCCTGTTGCCGTCTCGGCCGGTATCGCGTCGCACCATGGGTGCCCGTGCGGGGTGAGCCCCGCCGTGACGGGTAGGCCGGGGCCGGAGCTGCGCCGGGGGCCGCCACCCCTTGAGGGGAACAGGCGGGGAAGCCGGTGCGCGAGGGAACCCCGGCTCGCTCTCGCCGTGGTTCGGTGGTGGCCGGAGCGAGGGCCTAGTGGGCGGCTGGAGCGGTTGTTTGCAGCCGGGGAGGTTGTGGGGTTGTGGCGATCTGCGCGGGCCTATGAGGATGCCGGAGAGGAACTCTTCATCAGGGACTGCAGCAATAGGACAAGGGGTAATGGGTTTAAACTTAAGAGGGGAAGTTCAGGTTAGATATAAGGAAGAAATTCTTTACTGTGAGGGTGGTGAGGCACTGGAATGGGTTGCCCAAGGAAATTGTGAATGCGCCATCCCTGGCAGTGTTCAAGGCCAGGTCGGGCAGAGCCTTGGGTGCCTTGGTTTAGTGTGAGGTGTCCCTGCCCATGGCAGCGGGGTTGAAACTGGATGATCTTAAGGTCCTTTCCAACCCTAACTGATCTATGATTCTATTTTCCCTGTACTATTTAAGTGACTGTGTAAAGAAAAAACAGATTGTGCACCTGTAGCTTACTACATGCCCCTTGTGCAGGACAGAATTGTAGCAAGTGGTTAATACCCTTCTCTGCGACCAGAGAGAACATCAGTTTGAACTCCTCGTTTACCGCAGGTTTTTGATATAAGCTTGAGCCAAGTTCCCACCACAACTAATGGTTCTTGATGTGGGTCTGAACTCTGTTGATGCTCTTGTATTGGGGAAAAGCAAAATGTTTTGATTTTAAGGATCAAAATAGAACTCAAATTAGTCAGCCTGACAGAGCATGATGATTTGTGAGTCACTTTAATTGACTAAATCACTAATATGACCTTGCTGCTGTGCACTTAAAAACACACACAAACAGAAGTTCATGCTTAAGTTGGAGTGTTGATGAAAGCATCAGTAAATTCACTTGATGCTTCAGAGGCATCTGAACTATTTTGTTGGTATCCTTCTGTGTTCTGGGACAGAGTAGAAAAGCCAGTTACTGAAAGGAGTCATTGTCTTCTCTTGTGATGCTTTCAACATGAGTGACAGATACTTCATTAAGCATATTGGATTCAAGCAAAACATACTCATGTACCCAAAGTATTTTCCAGGAGTCTAAATCATTACTGACAGATGGCTCTTGTTAAAAAATGGTTTCTTTGAGTTGTTACAAAAGACAGAAAAAGATGACTTCAAGAAGTCTTTGTAATGAGAGATGGCTCTATCCTGAAAGTTAATATATAAAAATGATGAATGAAGAAAACATTAATACTATAGAGAGGCTATTACATCAATGGGAGTTGTGCTGAACCCCATGGAGCTAATGTATAGGCTTCCAGCTCATGCTTTAAAGTTAAGCAGCCAGGTATACCCTGAAGATCAGAGAGGTCCCATAATGGCATTCACTACAAAACAGAAATGTTTTGGTTTGTTGGAGAGTTCTAGCAAGGTATAGAAGCCAGGTTGTGCATGACTCTCAGGGGAGTCCCCTGCAGCAAGTAGAAAGCTCAGATGGGTTTTTTTTGGGTGGAGGGAAGGGGGTATTTTTTTCAGCCTGGGAAGTGAAAACCTACAGAGCAGAGAGACTGGTGATCAAGCAGAAAGAATGTGATGAAAATGTTAAAATTGTATTGGGCAGTTCTATGAAATTATAAAGTTCCTGAAGTATGAGGTCTCTGAGCCTTGTAATGATGAGGCTGCAAATGAGATGTGTCCCATCTAGACAGTCAGCTTAAAGCTGAAACTAGCAGGTTTTATTCCCCCCTTTGCCTGCCCCCCAGCTGGAAAACAGACCAGTCAATATGAAGCTGGTCTGGCAAGGCTGGCATCCATAAATAAAGGGAAGGAGGAGCTATTGTTCATATGGTGTTTGCACTTGGTATCCCCAGAGGGGCTTCATGGTGGTTTAAAAGACTGATGGATTGGTTATAGCAGAGTAAAAATTAGCATGTGATGTTTTAAGTTTTCTCGTGGTGGGAAGAATTGTGCCAGTGGTTGAATCTAAAATCACATTTATACTACTGTATTCACAACAGTTAACCAGAAATCTGCATGTTTACATGCTCAAGCTGCTTGAGAGATTGGTTTTGGTAGAATATTGTTTTTGAATGTTCCGCAGAAGAGCTAGTAAGGAACACCAGGCTTTTAAGGAGACAGATGAATCACCCAGATGTTACCACTGGGTAAACCTGTCAGTATCTGCTGGGTTAAATAAAATTTTTATGAACTATCCCAATGGCCCCTTAGTATTTGGAAAAGAAAGTCCTCCTGCAGATCTGTGGAAGTATTCTTTCCTGGAGTACTAAATGTAATCCTTTACCATCTTGAACATGACCATGGTGATACCCTTACAGTTACTGTACTTCCTCTTTTATTAAAATTGTGCCTGCTTGGCAAGTCAGACATTACAAGTAAGAAATCCTGGCACAGTAGTCCTAAACAATAAGAATTGTTAAGAATATTTGGGCAGTTGAAGGGGGCAAGACTGTTTCACTTGTATTTGTCCAGGGTACTAGAAACAAAGCTCTGCCTCAGCTGTCTGGCAGCCAGCACTCCAGGGTGCCACGCTCTCAGCTTGCTTCTGAAGAAAGTAATGTGCAGCTGAAAATGGCAGTTCTGTAGCTTGCATTCATTAATAATTTCCTATCAACTAAGCTGTTAGACCTATAGTAGTCTTCATGTGACATACCATATTCTCTTCAGAGGGTTGCACTGCGATGGTGTGGAATATGTAAGCTGACTGCTCTCCAGTCATGCCATTCTCACTGGCATCTGTTCATTAGTAAGGTGCTTGTTTCATCTCCTGTTACAAGGTGCTCTAGCTTCTCTTGTCTTTTAGGCAGAGTTAAATTGCTGTCTACTGCCACATGAGGTTCATCTCTGCTGTTTTCTCCTCTGCTGTAGCAATATATTAGCATTTGCAATATACCACAATGCAGAGCTAAGGTAGCTCTTACTGAATCTTTTGTATCCACTGTACATCTGGATAACTGCACTTCAGGCCATCTATTCACATGGCACATTGCCAAGTCAGTCTGGTTAGGCTTGTCAAGGATACTAATGCCAAGCAGCAAGGAATCTGGAATAATGAATCTACCCTGCGTAACACCAGATGCAATGTGTGGCCTTGTACGGCAAATTTATTCTGTTTTCATTTGCTTAACCTTTATGTTGCCATTTCTGCTCATGCCAAAAAAAAAACAATCTCTGGACATGGAAAACCTCAAAATTCAGTCAGTTGTAAACTGCCACTCAAATGAATTGCAATACAGTAAGCATGTCAGGAAAGAGAAGCAAAACATTTGGATAATCAGTGTCTACTGGGAATATCACATCTTCAGATGACTGAATCATGAAATACCAGAAAATAACCGCAGCCAGATTAGAGTGTGATACTAGTTATTTTGTTGGCACTTGGCCAGGCAGTCTGTTCAGACTCACTATCAAAACATCCCCCTAAGAAACTGTGTACTGTGACAGATGTTGATTTTTAATACTTTAGTTTCTTTTATCTCTTCATCAGCTTTTGTCTTCATTTTTTAAATGAGGTGGTCTTGCTGAAGAAATGGCTTGATCCTCAGGAATTGGCTAGAGGTGCCAAGAAGCAGGAATAAGGCTGCAGGAAACTGGATAAGGAGATAATAATTGGACTGCATAGGGAACGTGTTTGGTGTGCTCTCTCTCAAGGACTGTGCTTTATTCTGATCTTGAATTTTGCTTCTTGAATTGAGCCATGACTACAAAACAGATCAAAGGGAAAAGAAACGTTTTGCACAGACTTTAGTACCACTTAAAATTTTGGGAAATGTCCAAACACAAGGAAAAACATAGGCTGTTCTTTTTCAAGTTGCTTCAGTTACTCTTCACCTAGCATTAGATGATGTGTATGCAGTTATAACAGTGTTTTGAATTGATTCATTGTTTCCAGACACAGTTTCAAGAGGTTGAAAGACATTGGAAATGAAAATGGCTTTGCGATTTCCCTGGTTCCTTGGTGCAGAGCAGCTGCTTGATCGGGAGGAGGAGGTGGTGGGGGGAATGTCTCTAGGGGATGTGCTGTGATCAGCTCTGGACACTTGCAGTTCCTGAGCAAGGGATACAAGAGGAAATGCATGCTGCTTTAGCATCTTACTACACTGACTTTGAAATGTATCTATCTTCCCCACTCCTACCCTCAATAATTAGGCCTCTGCTTTAGGGAAGCTTCCCCCCACTCCACCCTTAACCAATTGTGATTTATTCTTTCTTGAATGCCGCTGAACTGAAACTTGTATAAAGAATCAGATCATGAAGGTACTTGAACAAAGGTCAATTATTTCCTATATTTGCCGTAATGGTTGGTAAATGGATCTAAACCTTTATTTACTGCACAAATCATCAGAGATTTATTTTAAGTGCAGACATGTCTGGTTTTTCATGACTTACAAATTGACTCGCATGCAGCAAAAATATACTTTGGATCCAGGAGAGGAGGAAAGAATGTACTAATTTCATGTAAAACAATGAAAGGGGAATAAAATCTATGCTTTCCTGCAACTTTATAATGGATGACTGTCTGGGCTAGGTTTGAAAAACAACTTGAAGTTTTGCAACCGCTTCTTTTTTTTTAATTGCTTTCTCTGTTGAATATAATTTAAATCCTTTCTTTCTCTTTTCATCAGGAAAATGAGCGGTGGGTTGGCACCAAGCAAAAGCACAGTGTATGTGTCCAATTTACCCTTTGCTTTGACAAACAACGATCTGTACAGGGTAAGTTTTTTTAAGAGCTGCATTGATCAGATTAAACTTGTTGACAACAATTTTGAGTGTAAATACAATACTGATATATAGCTTTTACTTAGAAAAGTTTGTCTTGATAAATTTATTACTAAGGAAATGCAATTATCTATTGCTAAACCTTTTTCTTTTTTTTTTGTATTTCAGATATTTTCAAAGTATGGGAAAGTTGTCAAGTAAGTGACCTGACATGGCCTGCTATTTTTGTAGCTCTCATTTAAAGTATTCAATGTCTTTGCTTCACTTGATAGCTTTGTGCTTTTTATAATTTAGGAATAAATGTGGAACTATATTGAAGTGCTATCAATTTTTAATGAAGTATAAATTTAATTTAACAACTGTAAGCTCCTGCGCTTACATGCATGATGTAAGAATATTTGTATTGGGACAGGTTTGCTACCCACCTCTTACGAGCAAGAAGAATGTTGTTATATACCAATGCTCTTTTAAATAGTTGAAACAATATTCTTCTGGTGTTATCTCCTTTCCACCAAACACTGCCTGGGACACAAGTGGATTAGTGTAAAAGTGAGAACTTCTACTTACGTGAACTAGGCATCACGATTCCCCAAAACAGTTCCCACAATTACCATTACAATTCCTCTGTTTGCAGTTCTAGAAGGACTTGTTATTCTGACTGCTCAGTATTATACTGAAGATTAGGTGTAAGGCTGCATAGTAACAGTTTTTAATATGTGAGGCATTCATGAACAGTACTTGGGAATACCTGTCTCTGTGTTCAAGTGGTAGACATGATTGTCACAATGAAGAATTTGCTGGTTTGCTTTGTTTCTTGATTTTTTTATTTTTTAACTGGTCATAATAACCAGACTCAAGGCTTCAGTTTTTAACCCTACACCAGCAAATATCTATTCTTAACATCTAGAAGCTGACGTAATAATCTGTGAGATACAGAGCTAAATTCAAAGTTGTTCAGCTCTCAGGAGTGTGTTTCAGGTGACAAATAGCAAGAAAAAAAAAACTTTTTCTGAAGTTGTAGGGGTTTTTCAAAAATTGACTGAGAGGAAAACCTTTATGCAGGGCTCTGGCAGACAGGCAGTAACCAGTACAACTGGACACTATTGTTTCCAGGGTGGGGTGTGTGACCTGTTTTAGTTGATCTCTGAACTACCAATCTAGAAAAATCGTGACAGAGGCGTAATACTGGTGTTTGTCTGTTGATGAGCTTGTTCTACATAAATGTGACACTGCTGATCTCCCTGTTATCATTTGGTAATATACCTGTACTCTGTGTGTTTGGGGGTAGGAGTCTGCTACTGTCCTGCTTTTGACCTTGTATGATAGGAGAATCAGAACAGTATGAAGTGTTGGCTGTATGATGCGTTGCTTATTTCAAAGGTGTTACAGCAGCATTCTCTTTTTAATACTTTCTAGTATTTTATTTGCCATTTTTACTGTCATAGACAATAGAAATGGTGTTTTCCTGTGCTGTGACCTGTGTGAAAGTAGCTCATTTAGAACTTGCAATTCTTGCTGCCCAGTAACTGGTTTCTCCCATCTATATATTGTTTTGCAAAGAAATCACTTACTGATACTTAGTTTTTCTTGTAATTTTGTCTAATCACTGCCAGAAGTTAAGCCAAATGCAGAAACTCGGAGATTATCATGTGTAAAATACTACCATGGCATTTTTTATCTAGCAAAATTTGTTTCCTGTTCACCCGTTTGCAACCTGAGCTGACTATAAACAGTGTCAATACTGTGGGAGTCTCCTGGTATCCCATTTCACTATGAAACTGACGCTAACAAAGATCAGGTTTTTTCTATTTGTAACTAGTCATTAATTCCCAAGAAAAATATTTTCAAACATTAGCTTGATTTCTGTAGAGTCTTTGTTCAGGGACTTTAAAACACTTTACAGAAAGCTTTGTGATGCCATTAAGGTCAGCTTTAATTTAATTAAATAAGCATTAACAGACTTCTTTTGGTTTTTTTCCTTGGCTCAGGAAAATCACTCTGGACTTTTTTCTGTACTCCCATTTCTCACCCCAGTATACCGTGGCTATGATGATTTTAGCTTGATTTGTTCACTGAGAAATCAGACTTTTTAGGGCTCAAAAAAAATTGCTTCTTAAAGATTTGTCATGCTTAGAATCATAGAATAGTTAGGGTTGGAAAGGACCTTAAGATCATCTACTTCCAACCCTCCTGCCATGGGCAGAGACACCTCACACTAACCCATGTCAGGAGTGTGTTTTGCTTGAATCCAGTATGCTTAATGCAGTATCTGTCACTCATGTTGAAAGCATCACAAGAGAAGACAATGACTCCTTTCAGTAACTGGCTTTTCTACTCTGTCCCAGAACACAGAAGGATACCAACAAAATAGTTCAGATGCCTCTGAAGCATCAAGTGAATTTACTGATGCTTTCATCAACACTCCAACTTAAGCATGAACTTCTGTTTGTGTGTGTTTTTAAGTGCACAGCAGCAAGGTCATATTAGTGATTTAGTCAATTAAAGTGACTCACAAATCATCATGCTCTGTCAGGCTGACTAATTTGAGTTCTATTTTGATCCTTAAAATCAAAACATTTTGCTTTTCCCCAATACAAGAGCATCAACAGAGTTCAGACCCACATCAACAACCATTAGTTGTGGTGGGAACTTGGCTCAAGCTTATATCAAAAACCTGTGGTAAACGAGGAGTTCAAACTGATGTTCTCTCTGGTCGCAGAGAAGGGTATTAACCACTTGCTACAACTCTGTCCTGCACAAGGGGCATGTAGTAAGCTATAGGAGCACAATTTCTTTTTTATTTTACATAGTTACTTAAATAGTACAGGGCAAATAGAATCAAAGAGAATCATAGAATAGTTAGGATTGGAAAGGACCTTAAGATCATCCAGTTTCAACTCCGCTGCCATGGGCAGAGACACCTCACACTAAACCATGTCACGCAAGGCTCTGTCCAGCCCGACCTTGAACACTGCCAGGGATGGAGTATTCACAACTTTCTTGGGCAGCCCATTCCAGTGCCTCACTACCCTCACAGTAAAGAACTTCTTCCATATATCCAGTCTATAAAACTTGTTTGAACCCGTTACCCCTTGTCCTGTCACTACAGTCCCTATCGAATATTCCCTCCCCAGCATCCCTATAGCTCCCCTTCAGGTACTGGAAGGCTGCTATGAGGTCTCCACGCAGCCTTCTCCAGGCTGAACAGCCCCAACTTCCTCAGCCTGTCTTCATACGGGAGGTGCTCCAGTCCCCTGATCATCCTCGTGGCCCTTCTCTGGACTTGTTCCAACAGTTCCATGTCCTTTTTATGTTGAGGACACCAGAACTGCACACAATACTCTTAAGTGAGGTCTAATGAGAGCAGAGGGGCAGGATCAGCTCCTTCAACCTGCTGGTCATGCTTCTTTTGATGCAGCCCAGGATGCGGTTGGCTTTCTGGACTCCAAGCGCACACTGAAGCCAGCTCATGTTCATTTTCTCATCAACCAACACCCCCAAGTCCTTCTCTGCAAGGCTGCTCTGAATCTCTTCTCTGTCCAACCTGTAGCTGTGCCTGGGATTGCTCCCACCCAGGTGTAGGACCTTGCACTTGGCATGGTTAAACTTCATGAGGTTGGCATCAGCCCACCTCACAAGCATGTCAAGGTCCCTCTGGATGGCATTCCTTCCCTCCAGCGTATCAACCGAACCACACAGCTTGGTGTCAACGGCAAACTTGCTGAGGGCGCACTCAATCCCACTGTCCATGTCAGCGACAAAGATGTTGAACAAGACCGGTCCCAACACCGATCCCTGAGGGACACCAGTCGTTACTGGTCTCCAGCCGGACATTGAGCCATTGACCACAACTCTTTGTGTGCAGCCATCCAGCCAGTTCTTTATCCACCGAGTGGTCCATCCATCAAATTAATGTCTCTCCAATTTAGAGACAAGGATGTTGTGTGGGACAGTGTCGAAGGCTTTGCACAAGTCCAGGTAGATGACATCAACTGCTCTACCCCTGTCCATCAGTTCTGTAGCCCCATCATAGAAGGCCACCAAATTGGTCAGGCAGGATTTGCCCTTAGTGAAGCCATGCTGGCTGTCACCAAGCACCTTGTTGTTTTTCATGTGCCTTAGCATGCCTTCCAGGAGAATCTGCTCCAAGATTTTGCCAGGCACAGAGGTAAGACTGACTGGTCTGTAATTCCCCAGGTCATCCATTTTCCCCTTCTTGAAAATGGGGGTTATATTTCCCTTTTTCCAGTTATCGGGAACTTCCCCTGACTGCCATGATCTTTCAAATATGATGGCCAGTAGCTTAGCAACTTCATTTGCCAGCTCCTTCAGGACCCGCGGATGGATCTCATCAGGTCCCATGGACCTGCGCACGTTCAGGTTTTTAAGATGGTCTCAAACCAGATCCTCTCCTACAGTGGGCCCAAGGTCTTCATTCTCACAGTCCCTGCATCTGCCTTCCAAGACTTGGTCAGAGCCTTTGCCAGTGAAGACTGAGGCAAAGAAGTCATTCAGAACCTCAGCCTTCTCCAAATCCAGGGTAGCCGGTTCTCCTGATAGCTTCCGGAGGGGGCCTGCGTTGTCCCTTTTCTGTCTTTTGTTCACTACGTACCTATAGAATCCCTTCCTGTTATCCTTAACATCCCCAGCCAAATTTAATTCTAACTGGGCCTTAGCTTTCCTAACCTGGTCCCTAGCTTCCCAGACAACATCCCTGTATTCTTCCCAGGCCACCTGTCCTTGCTTCCACCTTTTATAAGCCTCCTTTTTCTCCTCTGAGTTTCCTCAGGAGCAACTTGCCCATCCAAGGAGGTCTCCTGGCCCTCCTGCTGCACTTCCTTCTAGTCGGGACGCAACACTCCTGAGCTTGCAGTAGGTGATCCTTGAATATCAACCAACAGTCTTGGGCCCCCCTGCCCTCTAGGGCTATATGCCATGGAACTTTACTAAGCAGATTCCTGAAGAGGAAACACTTGTTTCTTTCTATGCTTGTGTTATTAAGTGGTACATTCAATATCCCAGTTAGAAGCGTGACAGTCATATTAGGGCTCATTTGGAAATCTTGGTGGAGTAACTTGAAGAAAAAATTAATAGTGTTGTTGTAAAGTCAGTTTTACTCACTCTTCAACTCAGTGCATTCAATTAGATACATCCTTGTCCAAGAACCTTTGGTTAAAAGCCTGTATCAAGCTCTGTCTTTCTGTGCATGTATTTGCGGGGAAATTATGCTTTCTGTATTGAGCTTTTATTTAATACACTTTTTACTATGTAAGTCGTCTGTTATGTACACAGGTTCCCTGGCAGGCCTTCTGCACTGGAGTGGAGTTTGGGTTTTTTAAAATTGCTCCGTTACTACTTACAATTTTGTCTTGCCTTATGGATGAACCTTGTTCTGTCCATGGTGGGCGCAAGGAATAGCTTATTCCCTGCTTTTTTAACATGTACCTTTTTTTGTTTCTTTTTTGTTTGTTTCCTAGGGCTAAATACAATTGCTGTTAAGACTGAAAGAATTCCCACCCCTTTACCCCTTCACCTCTTGTCATTCTTTGTCTGCTGTTTTTACTGGGTTAAGAGCTTTCTTGAGTTTTTTGGTGTGCTACTGGAGCTGTTGATTCCAATGTTAGGGTGAAGATTTGACTCTGTATGTTACATAAAACAACACATGTATCTACAATCTGCTTGGATTCCACTTAGAGATATTTGTAGAACAATATTGTATGTATTTATCATTTCCTATCACGAGCCTGTTTAAGTGATTAGACTTACATGTACATAAATTCCTCAGTTTGGATGCAGTTTGAGCACTGTGTTTTTCAGCAGTGATAACAGTGGTAACATTACCCCTCAATTTCACCTTCAGTATGTGTAGTTGTCTACAGTTAAGTCATCTGCAAGTCTATAGATTATGTTCTCTGTTTTTCAAGTCATCCAAGGGAATAAGTTTTTAAAAGACATCTGCACTCTATCTGTGTAGGATCACAAAATCATTAGGGTTGGAAGGGACTTCTGGGGATCATCCAGTTGAAGCCCCCTGCCAAGGCAGGGCCACCTAGAGCAGGTTACGTAGGAATGTGTCCAGGCAGGTTTTGAATGTCTCCAGAGAGGGAGACTCCATAACCTCCCTGGGCAGCCTGTTCAGTGCTCTGCAACCCTCAATGTAAAGAAGTTCTTCCTCATGGCGACGTGAAACTTCTTGTATTTTAGTTTATGGGTACTGTTCCTCGTCCTGTCACTGGGCACCGCAGAAAAGAGTCTGGCACCATCCTCTTGGCACTCACCTTTGAGAGACGTACAAGAGATCCCCTCTGTCTTCTCTTTTCTGGACTAAACCTTTTCAGCTCCTGCAATCTCTCCTCATAAGCAAAGCTCAAAATCCCTGATCATCCTCATGGCCCTCTGCTAGACCCTTTCTAGTGGCTTCTTGTTTTTCTTGTGCTGAGGAGCCCAGAAGTGGGCACTGCTCCAGATGTGGACTCATCAGGGTTGAGTAGAGGGGGAGGATCATTTCCCTCAACCCGCTGGCCACACTCTTCTGGATGTTCCCCAGGACTCTATTAGCCCTGCTGGCCACATGGCTAGTTCAGCTGTTCCTTTGAATTTCTATTTAAGTGAGCCTTTCTATTGTTAAATATGCTTTTTCCTTTTTGCTATATAACAAAGCTAAGATCCCACCTATATCTTCAAGGAACAAATGTCTTTGAAGTAATTACAGTGTATCAATAATGTGGTTATATGTTTTCAGAGTTACTATTATGAAAGAGAAAGACACCAGGAAGAGTAAAGGAGTTGCCTTTATTTTGTTTTTGGATAAAGAATCTGCACAGAACTGTTCTCGGGCACTTAATAACAAACAGGTAAATTGTGGACAGTTGTTCTGGCAAGAGGGTTGGGTTTACAGTTCCAAAATATTTACTGATTTTTTTTTCCTAATTTGCTGTAGTTGTTTGGAAGAGTAATAAAAGCAAGTATTGCCATTGATAATGGAAGAGCAGCAGAATTCATTCGCAGGCGTAACTACTTTGATAAGTCTAAATGTTATGAATGTGGGGTGAGTAAAGCCAAAAATGAAGTAATATATTCCATCTTTTGACCCTGTTGTGGTTTAACCCCAGCCAGCAAATGAGCACCACACTCATTCATTTCCACCCCTCAGGAGGACGGGGGGAAGAGAATTGGAAGGGTAAAAGTGAGAAAACTTGTGGGTTAAGAGAAGAACAGATTAATAATTGAAATAAAATAGTAGTAATAAAAAATTGCAATGAAAGTAAAAATAACAGAGAAAAATTAACCCCAAGAAAGGTAAGTAATGCAAGTGAAAACAATTGCTCATTGCCTGCCAATCAATGCCCAGTCAGATCCCCTCCACCAAACTTCCCCCTAGTTTTATTGCTGAGCATGACATCATATAGTATGGAATCTCCCTTTGGTCAATTGGGGTCGGCTTTCCTGGCTGTATCCCCTCCCAACTTCTTGTGCATGCCCAGCCTACTTGCTGATGGGGTGGGCTGGTTAGCAGAAAAGGCCTTGACTCTGTGTAAGCGCCACTCAGCAATAGCTAAACCATCCCTGTGTTATGAACACCGTTTCCAGCACAAATGCAAAACATAACCCTATACTAAGTACAGGCTCTTGGCTTGTTTCTTCAGTTTGGCCATTTCTGTTAAATCCTGCCCATGCTGTTAAATTTTATTTTTTTTTTTGCTGTAGATATTACCAACTAAGGGAGCAATTTTACCATTTTCAAGAATGATAGTACCCCTTTTGTCTTTTATTTGAGATTGGGGGGGGAAGATTGTATATGTAATTGCTTCTTAACAAGTTGACCAGCATCCTGATCTGAGCATCAGTATGATGCTGTTTGAGAAGGAAAACCTCCTTCAAAATAGCTGCTTTTGTTATACTTTTGGAAATTCATGGTATCACTGGCAGTAAAATAAATACTGAAAACAACTAGTTTTATACAGGAGTAGCATATTTTAAGTTTTAGGCAAGTCCTCACTTTCCCTAAATGTAATAGCATAGGAGATTCAGATTTGGGTAGTATTTCATGTCAAATAAACCTTGATTTATATTCATAACATCTTTTAGAGCAGAAATGTTGACTCGCTCCTGTTTCTTAAACTGTTAATGCTGAGGTTTATATCTTGACTTGAACATAAATGGTGCTGTAGTGTATTCAGCTATTGCAATAGCAAAAAAGAAAATCTACTTTGCTTATAGCTTGTTCTCAATTTGCAGTTAAGCATGCATATCGCCACTAATCTCTTCGTTTCCATGGCAAGCTTATAGAGAAGAGTTTGTCTTCTGTGTGCTAATTCAGCATTCCATTTATCTTACTAATTGCTTCTATTTTTTTCCCCCGTGAACTGTCTTACATTAACTTTCCTCATGATATGTTTTAACAGATAGTTGTTTGTAATGGTTTCTGTTAAGCAATATTTCTTTTTTCTCCAAGGAAGCAGGACACTTAAGTTACGCATGTCCTAAAAATATGCTAGGAGAGCGGGAGCCACCAAAAAAAAAAGAAAAGAAGAAAAGAAAGAAGATAGTTGAGCCAGAAGAAGTGTATGTATATTTATTGACACAGTACTACTTTTTTTTAGGGAGCTTTTTCATACTGAACATTTAAAGATCTATATATTTTTCTCTTTGCACAACAAGTGAGGAGGAAGAAGAAAGCGAAGAGGAAGGAGAAGACCCTGCTCTAGATAGTCTCAGCCAAGCCATAGCTTTTCAGGTACAAAATTGAAGCAGTGCATATTTATTATTATTTAGATGCAACTCTACTTCTTTTTTGAGCTGCTTTGCAAAGCTCTGAGATATAGCCCTAGGACTGCCTGCTCTGTAACCCAGGGCACTCGGTGGTTTCTTTTTTCTTTTCCCTTTACTGTTTTCACTATTGATGTGTTTGTTTGTTGCAGGTTTCTTTTCTTTTTTGTCCTTCAAGCTCTTTTGCTGCTTAGTTTCCTCCTGTCATCTCCACTGTGATGTTCTGTTAAGTTTTTGGTCCACAAATCCCACTTCACTCTGTTAACTGAGCATCCAGAAAAACAGTCATGTATAAATGACTAGGTATATTCTCTGTCTTCACTCACTACCTTGTCCTTCAGCAGCGTCTATTTCTGGAGCATTTCCTTTGCCTTATGCAGTCCATTGTGGTCTCTAATGGACTCCTTTTCTCAAAACATACTTAATGCACTTTTTTGTTATGTAGATAAATAGTCTGACAGCTGTCAGACTATCTTCAATACTTCTTTACGAGCTTTTGCTTCTCTACACAGAGCAAGCCTGACCTGATCTTCAAATTTCTTGGCTCCCTGGTTCTCAGCTGTCCCCTTGTGTGCCCTTGTCCCTCAAAAAAAAACCTTCAAGAGCTTTTAAGATAGCTTTGTTCTGAATATGACTGTAATGAGTGCAGAACATTTAGATGACATAGTCCAAAAAAATCCCCAATGCAAATGTGCATAGCTGTCCTCCCACAACTGGAAAACTCCACTATGGAAGTAAAACCTATAAATATAAACAAGCCAAGAAACTTTCTCATTTCTCTTGCCATCCAAAGATTTTAACTGGAATAGCATATTTCCCAGTAAAAATAGGAAGCATCTAGTTGAGTAAACTTTTACATCCCTGAAGGTGTTCATTTCCTGCATGAATGATTGCAAAGAAGACTTGCTAGTGGAACAAAGCTGATTCAATCATGTCTGTTTAAAATGTGATGGATTCTTTGCTTCAGATCTCAGCTGCTCTATAGTTCTGTATGTTTGCCATGGGCAAAGTTCCTCTCTTTAAAAATGGAGGGTGCTCATGTGGCCTGCACTGGTGCAAAATACCTACTGTTTGCAGATGAGAACTACTTTCATAAATGTTTTCTAGTGCATTCATTACACAGTTTACCTGGAAATGGAGATAAACTCTTTGAATTCTTTAATTCGGTAAATTAAATTATAATTAGCATTATTATTTATGTAATGCATTTTACTTTTTCTTAATCCTACCTAAAACTTTGTTCTTTCATTGTAGCAAGCCAAAATTGAGGAAGAACAACAAAGATGGACGCAGACTGCAGGGGAATCTTCAATTTCAGATGAATCAAAACGTCCACGGATTAAGAAAAGTGCTTATTTCAGTGATGAGGAAGAACTTAGTGATTGAAATAATGCTGGTTTATATGCATATGTAATATATATATAGTGTACATTTTGTAAAGTGCTACAAAGTTTTCTGTAATACAGGTTTGTCTTGATGTTGAAGGAACTTACTGAACCCTATCCCCCAAACTTCCTGTCTTTTAATCTCTCTCTTTTTCAAAACTTCACCTTTCAAGGCAGCCTCTTAAGAAAATTATGTGCTTCTACAGTTAAAACCAGAAAAATATCTGAGAGAATGCTTTTTGCAGTTAGTATCTAGACCCAACCCCTGCAAGTGAAGTCTTTCATAAGAGAATTTCCTGAGATTTTTTTCCTAAGAGGAGTTCCTCTTAGCATCACTGTTATCACCACCACTGAATCTTTAGGTATTGGCCTGTTTATTGTATGTTTGGAAGCAGTCCTTTAGTAGCATATGAATCTTGCACTAGTTCCTGGGCACAGGGTTGATTTTCAGCCTTAAGCATTGTACTAGTCTTTTAACTCTTTATGCAGTAATATAATAAATTAATGTCACATCAGTCCGTGAACTCATTTTAGGCTAAACAATACATCTGTATGTTTACAAAAAGATATTAAGATGTTGAACTTCTGCCTTAAACACAGTTTTAGGAACTTGCTCCACACTTCATAGTATTATATGGACTGTATACAGTATAGGCTTCATAGGAGTGCAAGTTGAAAGTGATGTGGCAATTAGTTGAGTCTGGAAACATACCTAATATTTTTTAAGAGTGATAGTTCTGTTGCTTTTTCATTAAAAATGAGAATAGCCGTATGTTTTAAGATAGGAATGTGCATATATGCTAATGTGCTCAAATATGATCTTGAAAGTCTCTTGCTGTGATAAGGGCTTATACTGCATTCTTTCTCCTGACTGCAGTTTGGGTGCTTAACATGATAATTATGGTTACGCACAGGGTTTTAAATATACTTGTATCTAACGTGGATCACAGTTTTGTCTTCTCAGGCATCTGAACCTGCTGGCAAAATCCAAAGGGCACAAAGTTTCCCACGTACTTAAAAATCAGTTTTCATGTATACTTGGAACTGTCATGGTCTCTAAGCAAAGCGTGTTGGTGCCTGTTTTGCATCTAAAGCTGTTCAGATCTTTTATATAGGGTCTGCATCCTTAAATCTCTGTAGTATTCTAGTCACAGTCTCCTACAAAGCCTTGTAGCCACATAAGGAGAACAGTACAAAACCCTGCAGCAGTGATCACTCCCAAAAACACAGACACATGGTGATAGTGGTAACCCTTTTACATTGGCCACTTCATGTAGTCAAACTTTTAATTTTTAGGAAGCACAATATAAAACATGTTCACACTTTCACACTTCAAAGAAGATACCAGCTGGCCTCTGTTTCTATTTTCAGCTCTTCATGTTGCTCATCAGGATTTGATTTTCTTCCAAATATAGAAAATGTAAATTCAAATGTATCATTATGTAGTCTTAATACTGATATACATTCAAATATATAGCTAGGTGCAAAGTAAAGACACACACTCTCTAATACAAAGCAGTCATATTCAGAAGGTTATTCTGGGGTCTTCTGTTGCTGCTTTCACAAGAATTCAGAAACAAGAAGGTGGTAATAAAGTAAAAGATTTTTCTGTACATAAACTACTCAAGCCACAGAATGGGAAGAAATATGGAGCTTTATACATACAAAGGACTTGGGCTCAGTAATCCAAAGAATGTTGTTCAGACTTTGTGATTTACTGCTGAATTTCAGAAGGATCTCTTCATACTGAATAGCTGAGTGCCAATGTGCCGGGTGTACAGTGATTTGCATTTATTAACTCTAAGTTACATCTTGTGTGTAATAGTGAAGACTGAGGACTTCTAAATTCTGCTAAGGAAGATCTTGCTGCCACTGTGCTTCTTTGCAAATGTTAGGTTAGGGCTTAATGGCAGTAAAGTAAATAAATAAATGAAGAGCAAAACAAATGTGCTTAGAATCTGCTACTTAAAATCAGGATTTGTCCTCTTCTCCAATACCATGTTCAGTGCTGGTTAAAAAAAAAAAGAACTAAAATGTGACAGAGGAGCAGCTTGACATTGTCCATGACTTTGTTTTGGGAATGGTTGGTAGATTACAAGAATAAGGTTTTAAATGAAGTGATCAGGCAGCAAATTTCAAACTTTTATGACATTACGGTGTGTAATGTAGTAGTGGAGCTCACTGATATGTGACTTTTTTCAGGGCCAAAGGGTCAAAAGTATTAGACTTGTATGTGGAATGTGATATTTAAAAGTATAATTTAAATACAGTCTCCACTCAGAAATACCCTAAATTAATGACTACTTCTAACTGTAAAATATACAGACATATTCCCAATCTAGAAATGTTTTATTCTTACACACTACTGTTTCGTATTTGCTACTGGTGTCTTGTCAGAAAGAATAAAAACAGAACTGACCTCTGTTCTGACCTAATACAGTACTTCTTCAAGAGTTCCAGCAGCTGAAGCATGTAGATATATCTTTCTGCTCTGCTGCTTCTGCCTCACTGCTTTCCCTGTAGGATTTGCTTCTGTCAGCATGAAGCGAGCAGTAGCTCAGTCCAGACTGTTACAACTGACCCAGTGGTTTTCCTCTGTAGTGTTTTGTTCCAACCATAAAGTCACTTGAGGCAGGTGACACTGGAAAAGAAACGGATAAAAATGCGCCTGCTTCTGTAAACAACTGGCATGTGGAATTCTTCACCTTAAATCATCTTCCATTAAGTTTTCTCAACTCTGAACTTCTGTTGATTAGCGCTACTTACAGTTTTTGGCTTGGAGTCAGGGTAAAGAAGAAAGCACCTGGTGCCTAACACAGGCCCTAAAGAGACTTTGGAGGAGTAGGATTTTTTGCACTTTGGTCTCCTGTAGCATTTTTAAGTTTCTATTCTTTGTTGGCAGGATAACAAAGTATATGTAGGTGCGCAATTCAGAACACTAGCATTAGATAACCATTAAGTTGGATAGCATGAGTACCAGTTCTGCTTGCTTAAATCCAGAACTGTTGTCTGCAGCACTCCCTGATGTAGCTGCTTCTTCCTGGAGAAAGGCCAGAACTTGTCAGGTTTAGGAGCAGGGGCTGGATGTTTGCACTTTGGGAGCTGGTTTCTGGTATACCTGAGAGCGCTACCCAGAGGCAGTAAACAGATCGGAGTTTTAGGTGGGTAAGGGTGGATATCCAGGTTGGTGGCACTGTTTCGGAGCTTGCCATGTGTAGGTGATGCCCAGCATCAGCTTCCTGTCCTGGCACCTTAGGCTTAGGAGCAGGGGCTTTGGGAACTGGTTTCTTTGAAGCCAAGGAATTTGCTCTTGTTCTTGCCCCCCCCCAACCACTCCAAGCTTGACGTGTTTCCGTGTGAGTCTGATCACTGCTGAGAAGCTTGGGAGTGTGAACTGGGCTCCTAATTTAGATCAGGCTAATAGGATGCAATTAGTTTTCAAAACCTGAGCAACAGAGTGGTGCTTTTGTCAGTTTAGTGTATTAAAGCACCGGCTCAGGAAGCAGAAAACAGCTTTGGTGGCTGCATGGCTGCAGGCCAGGCAGATGAGGCTATGTAGCCATGTTATCAAAAGAGAGAAGAGTAAGAAACGCCTTGTAGAACATCTTCCTGTTATTGTTAGAAAAACCACAGGAGATTTGGGAGGGGAATTGGCTGACAGCAGAGAGGTTGGTACTTTGAGGACCTAGCTTAGACTAGCCAGCGGAATGTTAGTTTTCAAGTATCTGATTATAGAGAAATGTTAGTTTTCAAGCTCTGATTATAGAGAAATGACATTAAGTGGCAAACTGATTTTTATTAAATCATGTCAAAAACGTGGATCTTTCTGCAAACATCCACTTAATAGATTTTGTCTTCCTTTTTTTTTAATTCAAAATAGCTTGGAAAGTGTCAAAATAATGCTTTCTGGGTCATGGGACCTCTCGTCTATTGAAATGGCTGAGAAGTGTCTCCAAACCCACTGGAAGATGACCTTTATCTGTCCTTGGGCAAAAAGAGGTTATAGAAGGGGAATAAGGATGATTAGTTTAACTGATTATAAATGGTGTTACTCATGCTGTGCCTGTGCAGCACTTGTTAAACAATTGTATCTATGAGACACTGGAGTAATTTTAGTCAGTGTTTAGCAGGCTTGGCATATTCAGGTTACTACCCTCAGCAGAGCAATAGAAGAGGCTGTAAATACAAAGAGCTATGTGTAGCTAAATAGGTGATGTCTGGGACAAATTGTAAACACTTTATCTTTGGCTTCTGGGTCACCGTGTTCTTTGGGATAGCCCCTTTTTAATCTGCAGAGATGACTTGCAGCATGGGAAGGTGAATTACGTACGCTGCTTGGCTGTAGTCTTTTGAGGCACAAAATGTTATATTGCTTAGAAAATGTAGGTGTAAAATGTGATTTATGAAGTGCTACTGTGAACATTTAGAAGTAACGAGCATAGAGACCTCTTTGTTTCAGCTTTATATTCTATTGGGTATTTGCAGTGCCTACATGATATGATAACATGTATCACAATTCCACCATTGCTCTTCTATAAAAATATTACAAATAACACTCTTCTATATGTGTTATCCTAAAGTCACTGGTGTTGAATAGCTGATTGCTTCTTTTTAGTATAGGTTGCAAAACTGTTTTTAGGTGTCCTGAAAATGTTCATACCAAACAGCTTTGTTTATCTTAACAGGGTGAGGTTTCTTCTGTAGCTGTTGATGGCAATATTAAAAATTACTACATTGTTCCTCTGTAGAGAAAAAGGTGTAAAGGGGGGGGGGGGGGTTAGTCACTGTTAACGTAGATGACCTTGTTTCTTGTAATCTGTCCTGGTGTCTGTAAAATGTATCCTAGAAGGGGTAAGATGAGGACATTCAGTATGTAAAAGAAAGCAATATTTTTTAAGTTGAAGAATTGCATGGGTTTGTGAAATAACATTTTGTCAGTGCTAGGCTAACCCTGACCCTGCTGGGCATTCAGATGCATAAGATGTGTGCTTATACAGGTATTTGATAGATACGATAGGTAACACAGCAAGTAAATAGTTACAGAAATTGTGACAGTGAAAATGTGGTCAAAGTGTGTGTGAAAAACCTAACCAACCCAGTGAGGCGATGTAGGTCAGAGTGGCTTAAAGAAAGACCACAGTTACTAATATGAGAACTTTCCTCTCTGATTAATAGGATGCTTCAGAGAATCAAAGGCAGCTCTGAGATTATGAGTTCATCAAAGGCAACAGACACAAGCCTACATTAAGATGAGCTGATCCATGAAAACTCAGTTTTATCAATATGCAGAGAAAGAAAATTAGAAGGCTTCTAAATTTAGATACTGCATCAAGCTTGGCACAGTACAGTTAAAGCTACCACTTGGTTGCAGAAGTAAAGATGGGTTATTGTAACTGCGTATGTGGTGGCAGAGGACACAGACATGTTCTGCCCAGTGAACAAATGTGGCTATGGAAGAAGGAGAGACCCAGAATAGAACCAAAAAGGGATACTGAGGACTGTGTGGGTAGGTTGT